ATGTTTAAACTGTTCTAAACAAGTTAATAATATAAACAGTTATATCTATACTGTGTTCTAAACAAATTAATAATATAAACAGTTATATCTATACTATGTTCTAAACAAGTTAATAATATAAACAGTTATATCTAAACTGTGTTCTAAACAAGTTATTAATATAAACAATTATATTTAAACTGTGTTCTAAACAAGTTATTAATATAAACAGTTATATCTAAACTGTATTCTAAACAAGTTAATAATATAAACAGTTATACCTATACTGTGTTCTAAACAAGTTATTAATATAAACAATTATATTTAAACTGTGTTCTAAACAAGTTAATAAAAAAGTCATAGACCATTTTCTTACAATATGTCAACAAGAATAAAAACTACTTTACAGATAATCTTTCCAGTATAATTTGTCCCGAGTTACTGTTTGTTTGTAATTAAGCACAAAGCTACACAATGGGCTATCTGTGCTCGGCCCTCCACAGATATCGAAACCTGATTTTATAGCATTTTAAATCCGCAGACATACCACCGTGCCACCAGGGGGCCCCACAAGTTACTGATGGAAACCTATACCCATCAGTTTTAAGCACATTTATCAAATTCTTTGTGGATCCATGATTCTATTTGTTACAGTCCTCTGTGTTGTATTTGTTTGGAATTTTGTACAAAACTACTCGAGGACTATCTACGTTAGCTGTCTCTAGTTTAACAGTGAGAGAGAGGATGGCTAGTGAATACCAGCCACCACCAACTTTTGGGCTACTCTTTCACCAACGAACATTATAATGTCCTCACGGCTGAAAGGGCAAGCATGTTTGATAACAGGGATTTGAACTCCTGACTCGAGTGTTGTAACGAGCAAAATGCACAATTATTCAATGTGATACACTAAGTGAATTATCTTAGAAATGAATGGAATAAAAAGAAATTTGTAATTTGAGGGGTAGAAAAAAAAAAGATTATGATGGGCTGTATTATAATACTTCATAGTATTGTTATAAACAATCAATTTTATACTGAACACAGTACAGATTAATTACAATAAATATGAATTATACTCAAAGTATTAGAAAAGAACTAAATACTATAAGAATTCACAAAACAAAACATTACTTTATACAAATTCGTGATCTTGTTAATCTGTATATATA